TATATTAGGGTGGGGCTATACATGATGACTCTGACTAAAATGCTGAAGTTTAATCTCAACAACCTGACTGTGCAAACCAGACATAAATATGTAAATTCGTTTTTAAATACATTTATTTATTTTACTATTCTTGATGTCCAAGGGTAGCCTGACCCTTACCTTCCTACAAGTATTCAATTCTAGTTTCCCTTCACTGCTCCGTCTGGGATTTCTCTCATAGACAAGGATTTCTTCAGGAGAATTTCATTCGGGCCAATCAGAGAACAGAAGGAGGGGTTTTGAACGATGTCGATTTTCTGCGCAGTGTCTGCTTGTGAGTTTAGCACACGGCAGTGGAGGAAGAGAATGAAGCCAGTCTGTGTTGATAAGGCTTCCAAATTAAATTAAATTTGTTTAACAAAGCAGCAGCTCTCATTTACAATCATCTCTTTCAGCTCAGTACTTCTCTCCTCTCAGTAGGGTTGTTTACAGCGCACTCAGTTTCCGGTTAGCTTCTTAGCTTAGCCTCCTTCACAGCAACATATGTCGCGGCCAACCAATCCAATCATTTTAAACTTCAACAGAGGCCACGCCTCCAGCAAGAATCGCTTCTCTAGCCGAGAGTCCAGACCCTCGTATGAAGCAAAGTTAAGGACAAGGGTCTGTTTTTACCAGGTTAATCCAAGGGTTGAGAAGAACGTAAATTCAGTCATGTATAAAGTACCTCAAAGCGATAATTGAGTATAACTTTGGTACTCTAAGTTAAAGTCTCCTCTAAGAATATTACTTGAGTAAAAGTCTTACAGTATCTCAATTTTTGTTCTTAAGTGTCAAATAAAAATGTACTTATGTGTTAAAAGTAAAAGTATTAGTAAAAATGACTGGTTAGCACTTGTAAAATGACATTTATTTGGAGGTGACCCCCTCAGAAATACTTTTTTCTAAAGGCGTGCAGCTACGATGGATTGTGTACAAACTAATACTGTGTCAGAATATATGTWTACTTTTCATCCAACCACAGTTAAATTCACTCTATCCTGGAGGCGCAATTTATCAGGATAGTACTTTTTTAAAACAATAACAAGCCAGAATGAAATAAAAGTAACGAGTTTCTACTTCTGATTTTTAAAAAATGTACGTGGTAGAAAATACAGGCTTTACCGTTTTTTAAACTAGTTTTAATTTTGTAACCCATATTGTCCATATCTGTACACAGAAAAATGATGAAAATGATGAGAAACTATAATTTAAGTCCATCAGAAGAAACAATTTCAGTTTTGGCATGCCAAAAAAAACCAACATTTTTTTTCTCGATTTATCTCCAAATATGTAGTTCATATATTATTCACAGCATGCTAGTACTTGAATTTTAATGGGATCTGCTCATTCTAGCTTTAATGAGTAACATTTCCTCAAGTGAAATAAATGTTTATAATGACACTTTTGTTTTAATAGAATGGAAAGAAATTAGCATTTGTCCCAGAGCCAAATGGAGCTGTTTTAAAACGGATTCTTGTTCTTCTGGTAATGCAGGGCGAGCTACAAATATGTTAAAAAGCAAATATTTAAGGTCTTGTACATGACAATAAATGCAGCTATTTAAAAATAACAAGTCACTCCTGCTGAGCCATTTAGATATTTATCGAAACTGAGTAAAGTTGAGGAGTGACAGATTCAAACAATAATGGTTTCATTATTGCAGCAGGACTGTCACCTGGTTCTGGTATTTTTTATATTTTTTACAGAGTCAGTGTCCTACCACTGCAGCATGAGTAAGATCCCAGGAGGCTACAGGAGGGTGTCTGTCCTTTTCTGCAGGTGCTGCACTAAAAAACACCCCTGTTTACAGAGAGGGCAAAACACAGCAGGTGAAAGAGCTAAAAACAGACTGAATGAGGACAAAGCTGTGATTTAATAGAGATGAAAGCTGAAGTTAAAATTTAAACAAAAAAAGCAAAAAATATAATTCTATTGAGGTTAACTGCTCTTAAGCGTTTCATTCAGAATAAACCACAATTTAGTGCAAGCTATTTTGTTTCACTTCTCATTCAATCATATATCTATATTGTTTAACTTCACAATCTTACTTAGGTTTCAGCTTGGAAAAATTTAACATTTAAAATATCTCCTCTCTGAAAAGGGACCTAAGGGAAACCAAGAAGACCCAGGTGAGTTTTATGATGTCACTTAGTTACTTTCACGAGAGACAAACATGGAAAAAGAAAAACACACTCAAAGTCGTTATAGGTGAGAGAATTCACACCAGCTGATGTTTCCAGAAGATAAAAAAAGATTTTTCTCTCCACAGACCCTTTAAAAGGTGTTATTCAGTATTTCAAACAAATAAAACAGTTACCATTATCTCTATGAATTCATTTATATTATTTTAAAGTCAGCCACCAATTAAAGCACCAATTAAATCAGCTGCTGTTCCTTCAATCAAACCTAAACAAATTCAAATTTMACCAATTATTTTTTAAAAAGTCCTTCTTTTATTTACTTATCTTTATTTAACCGGACGAATCCCTTTCAGATGACTGCTCTCTTTTGTGAGGGAGGCCTAAAGGCAGCTTAACGTTCATGTTTTTGGATTGTGGGAGGAAACCGGAGAGGTCCCACGCAAACACGAGGAGAGCGTGCAAACTCCACGCATGAAGACCGAACCAGGGATCAAACCCTTTTTCTCTCCCTCCTCTGCTCTGCGCTCACTCTGCATGCTGTTACCAGAGCAGGGAGCAGCAG